TTTTCTTGCATTGCTCCTGTTACCAGCCATCTAAAGCTTCCTTTCTCTCTTTCTCCCTGCCTTTCTTCTTCTYGCTGCATCTCTTTGCTTTCCAGCACATCTCTGTGACTGTGCAGCTCCACCCATTTCACCCTGTACATGCTCTCTTTCTCTCCCTCCTCCCTTGCATCGCTCTGGACCTTCAAGATGAGTAGCTTTCTTGGCAGATTCACAGATGCCAAATAATTTATTCGGGCTTTAAACTCAGAGATCAGTTGCCTGATGTCTACCTTGGTACTATGTTGATTTTATTCATCTTTGGCACCACTGCCTGCTGCTTTCTTATCCTGCGTGCCCGAAGTGGTCACCTTAACCTATATCTCTTTTTTAAAGCACTGTGCAGCCGTTTTCTCTGCAATGGTCTGCCTTATTTTCTTGGAGRAAATTAGTAGGCTTGAGGGGTAGGAAGAAAGGGGGTCATGAGGTTGAGGTTGACTTTCCCCATCTCAGGCTTCAGGCAGCCATCTCACACTATCTCCTCAGYCACGAGGATTCATAACCTCCATGTGTGTGCATGTGTGGGGGTTGTGACACTGCCCTTCAGCTGTATAGTTCATCTTATAGCTTTTATTAATTCACTGAAATCCCTAAGGAACTGTGTTGGGGTTTTGTAGTAGTCTGATGATCATGTGGCTTAGCTGCTTATTGTTTTATTCGCTTAATCTACCCACAGTTACAGAAAACCCATGTTAGAAAATTGTATGTAATGAATATTGAACATATAGGACATGTGGTTTTATGCCAGCTTGTGATAGTTAATATTAAGAATGTATAGAAACACATACTTAAATATAAAAGATATTTGCATAAGACTCCACATCCATTTTGTTAAAGTTTTAATAAGGTTGTAGTTTTTAAAATGCATTGAGATGTTTTTWTCTGAGGAGAAAGAAAAATGAAGAAAAATGTTTGCTTCTTACATGATACACAGCAGTGAAAATGTCTATAGGACAGTAGAAAAGCCTCAAAGGAAGCAAAGATCCACAGTTTGCTGGGAACTATTTGATGCGAGCTACTTTCCTTTGTTCTGTGGGCATGATATTTTTTGCTTGCTACCTGGAGCTGCAGAGCCCCAGATCTTGGATTTTGTGCATTCTGGTCCAGAGTCCCAAGGTCAGAAAGAGGATGTTGTCCAGCTGTCGTCCTGTCGCTGCTAGCTCTCTGCCGAAGGCAGGCTAAAATGCATATAGCCTCACTCCTAACATCTAGCCATGCCACTGTCTCCCTGCACAGAACTCTCTGCTCACCTGTGGAGGCCCCCGACTTTCTTCTGGCATCAGGAAAAGTGTGACACGCTGATTTTTTTTTCAGTCTGAGACTCAATTCGCCCAGCCCCAGGGTAGGACCTCACCACACACACTTTGAGAAAGGAGTCTTCTGTGTTCAGCCTCCTGTTTGCTTGCAGAGAGGCACACACAAGGCAGGAACATAGTAAATTGTTCAAAATGCTGATTTTGCAAAGGAGAGGGAAATTATTTTACTGATTAAATATTCACGATGCGCTTGCATATGACAGCAGTAGGTTTATAAATACAGGGATGTCTTGCTGTCTGATAGGAGGCTTTGTGGAGGGAACCATTCTTTACCTTGTGCATGATCTGACATCTGCATGCACCCAGAGATAGAGATCAGCATGTTTGCAATGTTGTCTGCAGAAAAATTTGCTTTAATTACTTRAAAGTAATGAAGTACAACAATGCATTTTATTTTAATCTGTCTTTAAAACCAAAATACCCAGGTCATTAACAGTGCTGTAGGTTTACTTTGTAAAGATGTAAATGTTTTACACAGAAAACTCACACTCTCAGGACAACTGAGGCAGATGTAAATAACCTGGCATAATAAAAAGTCTTCTCTGTTCATGGTGTATGTATAGGTTTACATACCCTTTCTTAGCACGTGAGACTGCCTTTTTGAATTAATTCCTTTTGTATCTCACACAGCTGCCTAACTCCTTGCAGGCACACACACTCAGCCCTCCCCCAGACATCTGTTCTGCTTCTCAGTACCAGGTGCCAAAATTTAAACTTGTCGGGAGGAGGGACAGTGACAAAATCCTTCATAAAATCAGATAGCAGGGATGTTTTTAACAGTATTTATGGTAGAATTTCATTTCTAACCTCTGTTTTTTTTTTTTTTTAATAACCCAAAAGATGTTAGTCTTTTTTACTGATTTTTTTTCAGGTTTTATCTGGAAAAGGTCAGGCTTGGGTGGGGATTGGTTTGATATTGGGGTAGAGACTTTCCTCCAATTTTTTTTGCAAAGTGATGTTGTAGCATCCCAGTAGTAAAAGGCCACGGTAACTGTAAACCTGTTTCTAGTCTGGGATTATTTTTCCTACATGGGAWTACATCTCATTAGAAACACAGCTGTACCTTCATCACTGAATTTTGATCAACAGAGATCTTCCATACCTTGCTTCTACTTGAAACACAGCTGTTCCTGAAATCTTTCAAGCATGCCCTAAAGCTGCCATCAGTTTCTAGAGGTTTCAGATGCGGTGTTGCTCCTATAAAGTCTAGAATACCAAGGTCTAGTCTACCAAAGTGCTCCTGTTTGGCATTTGGGGTTTGGTTGAGTTATCTTTGAAGAGCAAAAAATGCTGGGCTGTGCGAGCCAGGACATTTCCCTCATCAAGGAGCAGRTCAGCAGCATGAGACCATTCCCTTTCTCAGTCTGGGAACAACCACAATCATCTCCTCTACTCCATGCTCTGAACTTGTCAGAAGGGACTGTCATGGTCATCCAGTTGCAGACTTTCCCCTGAATCCTGGTCTAACCTTAAAGAAGCAGAGTACAGCCGATACCTTCTTCTGSCATTCCCTAGAATCTGCCTTGGAACATTTTCCTCTCACCTTCTTACATTCATGCTGTATCAGAGACATGGTCAGGCTGCTTCTGTTTTCTGCCTTCTTACCCAGGCACTTGGCTTCTTATCTCTATTCTTCCATTGGGATAGGTAGTATATAATGTAAGTGATAAACCTAGAAATGTGGGATCAATGGATTTATGTCAGCAGCTGTGGTCTGGATGGTGGAGCATATGGGGTAAAATACAATGAGTCCATGCTGGGTTAGGGAAAATCAGGAAGGTGGAAAGAGAAGTTGCTCTTTCTCACTCTTCATCGCTCCTTACGGATGTCTGCCACTTACTCTTGCAGTCACTGAAGGCACAGAGGCTCTCTGTGACCCTAGAAGAGGCTTGAGGGAAAACTCTGCGTCTTCCAGTGTATTTCCCAGGGGCAGAAACATCAGGAGCAGTGTGGCCACTTGCAGACCCTGGCTGAAATAAKAAGTTTCAGCTTCAGCAGATTGACTTGCTGGGAGAGTCTTCAGATAATACRCACTGGACAAAATGTGTAACATGGGGAAATTTCAGTGAACAAATTTAAGCCAGAGAGAGTCGAGSACCTTTTTCCACACTAATAATAAATCTGTGAGGGCACCACTTTTGGAGACCAGATTCATGGATTCAAGAAGACATGAGGCAGATTCATAGAGGAGTGGTCCACCAATGGCTCTGGAAAATGCGGGTCTGGAGGCAGTCTCCCAGGACACCGTGAATCGCTGATTTCTGGCAGCTCAGCAAGTCCATCAGGAATCATTCCACACATCTCTTGTGCTTTTTCTTTAAGAATTGCTGTTTACTTCTCCCACACATAACATAGTTTGACCAAGGTGGGCTTTACTTTGGCCTAGTCAAGTGCTTAGTGGCTTTTAGGACAGAGCTTAATCAGCCTCATGACACTTCCCTCCAGCGTTTTTAGGAGAACGATCCCATRGGCCATTCCAATTGTTTCGTCCCAWKCCTGAGTAGTCTTGGCAAGGGGACAGCAGCCTGCCACGACAGTGAAACACTGTTGTACACTCTGAAACACAAAATGGGTGTCCCTAGGAGTACTCATTAGGCAGTGTCCTATTTACACATAGTGCAAGGCAAATTTTTGGGAAGCCCTAAGATACAAAGCTAATAGGGTTGTTATAGAGGATGGGTGACAAAAAGGGATGGTTACTGAAAGGCAAGGTGTCTGTTTGAGGGTTTTATATTCTGTAAGATAAGCCTGAAAAGGACGAAACTAAATAAGGAGTCGCTAAGCCTTTTCTACTATGGAATTTGCCTGCCCTTGGTAATATTCCTTCCTGCCCATATTTTTGTTTGTGCTGATAAATGTCCTTGCATTAATAAACTCATAATGCATCTTGTTTATCCCTTCAAAGCCAGCCCTTGCAGCTTTCATTAGCATTTTAGGATATTTATGGCTTTGTAAATGACTGAAAATCTGCAATTTGTCATTAGGAATTAAGAAAAATCTTTGTATCACTTAGGGCTGAAGCTCAGCTTTGGCCTTTGAGGGACTGAGCCACCTCTGGGCCTCATAGACAAAAACAAAGTCAGACAGTGCCCAGATTTACAACAGCAAGTGGCTCTTAGTTATTCAGATGTCTTTGATAATGTGTCATCCRCTGTTGCTGGCAGGGATCAGTGTTTAGGCTCAGAATTAATTTCTCTCTAGCTGGAGAGAAAACAAAAATATCTCTTCTGTAAGAGCAAAAAGAAAGAGGTAGTAACAAGGAGAGAAGTGAAAACAGCACCAGGCATGTGTAAAAAAATGTTTGTATAAATATATGTATAGAGGATATACACACTGCAGAGTTTAACAAAGTGCTCTTCAGAAGAAAGCATTGCTTTAACTCTGCTGTGCTCTTTACTTTCAACTTTGAAATACAGGAAGTTAAGAAAATTTCAAAGGTTTCAAAAGAGAGTTTATCTTGTAATTGGTGAAGGGTTGAAGAGTTAGATGGGGAGGGATAATAATCAAAGGAGCCTTTTCAGCGTTAAACTGTAGTCCAGAAAATCAAAGGAAAGAATGTTAATTGGTTTGTACAACATGATATTCTCAGTTCAGAGTAGCTTCGGCCACTCAATGGTACTTTTTCTTTTTCTTCCTCTCTTTTTGTAGGTTGATTAAGTGAATAGAAGAAAAAAAAAAAAAGAAAAACGAAGATACTTTCAAGTATTGAAGATACAAGGCCAGGATGAACACGAAGGACGGAAAAGTGTCTGAAGGAGGTCTCAATGTCACGCTTACCATACGCCTTCTCATGCATGGCAAGGTGAAGCATTTCCTGTTGTCTGTGTGTTGAGTGTGTGTGCACCTACCAGCAGAGCCTGGCAGAGTCTGTTCCTTCTCCACCTCGAGTCAAAAGCACCATTGCCATAGCCAGAAAATCACCCCCTGCCTTTCAGGGAATGCTGCAGAAGTTCACACTGCAGCCCAAGCTCATTGAAACAAACGCTGCCACTAACGAATCCGTTTTGAGCGGATCTGGCAGCAAAAAAAAGGAATTATTTAATTGATARTGAGCCAAATTAGGCAGACCCTTGCAGGGGGCTGACCTGCATACAGCTCGCCTTTCTCAGCATTTGCTGGGTTTTGCAAGATTTTTGTAGGATACCAGAACATTGACTCGTGTGAAGTAATTGCTACAGAGTTACTGTCTATTTCTATTGAATGCAAATAGAGCAGAATTCTTCATTATTCTGGTGTAACATCTCATCAGAGGGAGCCCCCTGATATGCCAGAGATTCTTCCAGGTCCCCTGTGGGTTTGGTTTGRAAGGTTGACTCTCATTTCCTTTCTGTCCAGTGCAGCGCATAAAGCATGCAGATAAGGGGGAAATCTGTGCCTCAGGCTAAGTTCCAGTTCGGTAYTGTCATACTTAACAGTCTGGTCGCTGCTTATTTCACATTGACAGATCATAAAAGTGGGCTTTTAATTAAAAAACACATTTCATAGGTTTGTTTGTATTATTTGCATCAGACAACTCCAGGCATTTTTAGGCTTAATGAATTAATGTTACATAAAGTAGGTGGTTTGCTCTCTTCCTTAACGGGGAACAGTGAATATATATACATATTATWCTGGAGATCAAATTTGTATATGTAAATCTAAAAAAGTATTTTCACTGACAGAGTTTAATTTCATAACTGTAATACTTCTTGCATGTTAAAATAGTGGATGTTTTCAACCTGTAGCATGAACACACATATGATACACCCAGGGCACAAATAGGGCACTAAGGTATCTTCTACTGTGTTTTACTCATGGAAAAGTATGAGGGGATACAGCTTAAGTTTGCAAATTAAAAACCTCAGAAATTAGGTTATGTCAGATCAAATTATGTTTTTTCTCAGAAATGATCCAACCATTTTGTTTGATTTTTCTTTTYCCCCCTGAAATATTCAGCTTCAGGCAGGCATCTGGTGTGTAAATCTGCATCTTAAATAGGGATCTGTCAAACAAATTTAATAACACTCTCTCTTACAAAACCCACCTAAAATCTGTACACGTGTCTGTGCTCAAAATTAGGTCTTCAGGGTTGATTCTACAGGGTTCTGGTCCCAATCCATGAAAGCTTTTGAACACATACTTATCCCAGTGGGTATAAGCAGCCCTACTTGTTGCAGTTAAAATTCCCCTGTGCTTAGRTGGTGGTGTTATGGAGTTTTTTATTCAGTGTCAGACAGCTCTGTTTCTTTCAGAATCCTGCYTTTAAAGCAAAAATCAAATGTCTGTCATTTTGAGAACATTTTTGCTAAACTAGGATTATTTTTAAATCAGAACTGAAATCAGATAAACTTCATTTTCTCTGTTAAACATCATTGATTGTGTGTGCAACCACTTTGAACAATAATRGGTGTTATGTGTCCAAACTTCAATGCATATGTAGCCCCAAGGGTCTAAATTAAACCCACAAAAGCTACAAAGTTCGAATTTTWCCTGGGTCTATACCATGCATCCTCAGTTAACAAGGCACGATGGGTATACTGTTAGCTGCACTATGCTCTAATCATGTATCCTATTGTGCCCAAGTATTGGAAAGAGTACATTAAATCAGAATTTATTTTGGTTATAAAAGTCAGATGCTTTCCGTTTCTTTGATATCATTTCTGTGATTTAGAAATAATACAGAGAAATGAAGGATGTCTGAATCAATATGAACTCGGTGTGAGAGGGCATTCTGAAAGCTGTATATGCCTCTGAAAAAGAAGAAACACATTTCTAGACTCTWCCTTGAGATTTGTTGTGGTAATGACATCAGTGGAAATTGCTGATCTCTAATTAATATTTCTAGACAAAACACTTTGTCTAGAAGCAGAAGTTGGTGTATAAATAACTGGTCATAACTTGAGAGAAAAGAGGGGAAATAAAAGTGTTTTAAAAATAACAGTAGCAAACAGGATTAGGTTATTTTTAAATTAGGATAATTTTAAAGGTACTTATTTATTATGCATATCATGGAAAAAATGAGGGKTTTTCCCCACTAACTTTAACACTCTGTGTCTAAACCGTTATTACCAGTGTACCTTTGCATACGGAAGATCTCTGTGCTCTGTGTTATTTGCATTCATTTTGATAGGAAATCCATAACTTGTGCTACTGTGTTTGGTTATCTTGGCTGTAAGTCCTGCAGACTTAGGACATTTCCAGCCTTTGCTTTTTATGTGATTTGTATAGGAGCTCTAAGTCAAGAATTGACATCTTAATTAGGCTATTAAGTTAAATTCTATACCTGCAGAAAAATTAGGATTTGTGTAAATGGACTGACCTCTGCAAGATGGTAGTGAATAAAAAAGCCACAAAAATCAATTAAGAGGCAAAAACAAAAGACAACATTATTGTGGGGTGAAAGGAAAACAAGAGGGTAAGAGTCCTGAGCTCTGGGAGAACCCAGGCTGGTGCTTCCCCAATTGAAGGTAAAACTCATCAGCACCTTTGCTTTAAGGGAAGGAGCATCTGTACATCCAGCTGAGCTCCTGCAGGACTTCGTGCTGCCTCTGGGTTGGCCCCTAGGAGCTCAGCCACTCAGCATGGCAAGGTTTGGGAGCAACTGGCTGGCASCAAGGCAAGGCACAGCCTTGATATTCTCATGGCAGAAAATACATTAAGGGAGGGAAATTTTTTTATCGTGGAAGTGGAAAAAGAACTTGTGTGGGTTCTGCAAAAAGCCAACCACTGCGAGGTATAGAATGTTAACCTCAGGGTAACCTCAGTGTTTCCAGGGCCTCAAATGAGAGGTGTTTGTTCTCCTGAGCTGGGACTTCAGAGATTTTGTGATGATGTAAGATGAAAGGCTTGATTTTCATCTTGTGCCATGTTACATCAGTTAAAAAGTCATGATGATGTTACAGCCCTGAAGAGAAATCATGAGCAACACAAAACATTTGTCACATTTTCTTGCAATGAATTAGAGGGTAGGTGTTGGGGAGGATGCTGCAAGGGCAGTGCTTAGGCATTCCTTGTATCCACAGAGAAGCAACTGTCAGTGTTTGCAGAAAGTCTGAAAAGCAAGATTAGAAAAAACTTGTTACGAGGATGTGTGAGGAGGGGAGGAGGCTGCCTGGGCATGCTGCACCATCCATCACTGGAGGTTTCTAAGGACAAGTCAGACCAAACTGAATTCATTCTGTAAAGCTGCACTTCAGAGGCACTGCAGCATCTGCTGCTCAGCACCTTTTTGACCGAATTACCTGAATGCTGCTCCAGAGAGGTCAGGAACAGAAGAGCCTTTTGAAGGACATGCAGTTGGATGTATAGAATGTGTTAAATAATGCAGAAAAGCATTTTCATCCTTTATTAATGAGAAAGATGCACCACATTAAGAAATAAGGCTGTTTCATATATTTCATGCTGGAAAACAGAGAATGTGAGTTGAGGCTGTTTGCAGTGCCCTACTTTTGTATGTTCCATCTAATTCTTGCTGTTTCCTGAAGTTAAATAAGTAAAATCATTATGTAGGACAGAGATGTGAATAAATATGGGTATTTAATTCTCTTTTTCTATTTTTAAAATATAATTTCTGGGCAAGATTGGAATATTGCAGGGATTGCAAGATTTYTGCTTCSAGGAAAGGCAAGAATGGCCAGGCARTTTGGCCAGGTCAGATCAGTGTTTTTGAATGACCTAAGGAAGACAAATTGAGTGTGTGTGCATTCATGGGCAAACAGTCCCCACCCATCAGTATGGAGAGGCAGAGCTCGGGCCCAAAATAACTGTATCTTTTACTTTTTCTTCCTTTCTTTTTGTCAAGATAAAAATTCTTTTGGCTCTTTGCATGTTATAGGGTATAGGGGTAGTGTTCCATGTTTCTTACCATGCCTTGATCACCTTTTGCTGAATTTTCTATTCCCTTGACTTGTGGCTGWTTTTTTTGCCTTTCTTACTGCCACAGGTAATGAGGTTGGAAGACTGTGGGAAGTTTTAACCTTTTCCACAGGTATTTGCCACTTGACATCTGTAGTGTTCTTGAGCTAGTTTTGGCCAGTTCATGAACATAAATAAATAAATGTTGGAAAAGCACCTATTTAAACTATACTGGATAATGATTTCATGAATTGGGACTGGTTTGTTGTAGACAGCCAGTGTTAATAGGCTGATTAAGATCCTGGAGGCTCACYATTAAAGGTTAATTTTAGATGTGGATGGTAAAGAGACTGTGCCAGTAGAAAGATCTTAAATCTCAGGAAAGCAGCTTAATGGAGATTTAAAAGCCAGGTCCATGAGGTGGAACAGGAGAAAATGTTCAAATGACCCAGCACARAAAGTGCAGCAGGTCACAAATCCACTGTGACATCCACCTGCATYTCATAGTGGTGGTGCACGAATCTCTGCTTCCTCTGTCCAGTACAAACCTGCAGGAGAAATAATGCATTGTTTCCCAGGGCACTGTGTGAACGTGTACATTGATGAAATCATATTGGGTGCAGTGAAGTCTGCAAGAAACCAAAGTAAAATATAGTAATGTATTGAGTCTGAGGAATCTTTTAGAGAAAGGGAATGGAGTTCAGCAGTAAAAGTCCAAAATGGCTTAATGAGGAAGAACAAGGAAATAATTTACAGGTAGAATGAAGGAGTGAAGGGRAAACTGGCAGGGAAGTAGGACTCTTGCCAAATACTGAGAGGTGTAAATTGGAGAGTTGAGGCAATTAACTGGAGAAGGTAATTTAGAAGATACATGTTCAGTGACAGAAGGAAATCTGGAAAGCATAAAAGGCTAAAAAGCATCAGATGTGGCAGTGTCTAGAGAGTGGCACATTTGGGATATGCTGAGTT